CTTTGTTTGAGGGTCAATCAGGCACTGGATACCTGGCTGGAATACACATTTTCTAGAGTCGAGTAAGAATCACACTTCTGTCATTTCAAAGCAACATTTCTTGAGCACCACCTGAGAAAGCTGCTAAATGATGAACGTTAAAGGGAGGTATACCACCTGGGGAATACCGCTGAGTGGGAGTGAGTGAGTGAGTGAGAGAGAGGGAAGGAGGGAGAGTGAGTGAGAGAGAGGGAAGGAGGGAGAGTGAGTGAGTGAGTGGGAAGGAGTGAAAAAGAGGGAGAGGGAGAGGGAAGGAGGGAGAGGGAGAGGGAGAGGGAGAGAGAGAGAGAATGTGTGTGTGTGTGTGTGTGTGTGTGTGTGTGTGTGTGTGTGTGTGTGTGTGTGTGTGTGTGTGTGTGTGTGTGTGTGTGTGTGTGTGTGTGTGTGTGTGTGTGTGTGAGAGAGAGAGAGAGACAAAGTCAAAGGATATGTGTGGGTGAGTGTGAGTGCAAATGTTTATGTAAGTGTACTCTCACATGTGCACATTTCAACAGGCCTCCTCGTAAAAAGAAATGAACTGATAAATTACTAACTCAACCAAGATGAACACAGTTTTGCATTCCTTATGACTAAGTATTGTAAAAACTATCAAAAACGATCACTTTTCTAGATCACAACTATGGTAAAAGCATCATCACTCATTCATATATATATCATAAATATCATTTCTACTTATTAATAATCCTTATTGGACAAGTAATCATCATTATGATAAACATATTCACAATATTAATAAATGATGATAAAATTAACAATAAGAAGAGTAATATCAGTAATAACAAAAAGAACAAAGGATAATAAAATCAATAACAATAACAATAATAACAATAATAACAATAATAATAATAATAATAATAATAATAATAATAATAATGATAATAATAATAATAATAATAATAATAATAATGATAATAATTAATCATGTCTTTACAGGTGACAATATTGATAATGTTAATAATAATGAATGATAATGAAAATGAGAATTAGGGTGACATGATAATAATAACTGATAACGAGAAACTAATAGCAGTATTCAGTGTCTCTCATCCATAATGAAAAACAAATCAAGAAATGAACTACAACTAAACTGAAAACCGGCTGCACAGCGCAAACGAAGAGGGAGAAATACCGGCTCTTTTAGACTTGGAAATTGCCTTCAACTTACAAATCAACGTCATGAAAAGCACCAATTACCAAATCTCACAAAACACCAAGGTATCATTCTTCATAAAAAAAATGGTATTGCTACACAGAAAGTACACCTTCACAGCTACATCAAGACTTTTAATGAAGGTACGCCGGGTTTTGCCGTAATTTTTTTTGCGATCGACTGCCATTACAAGAAGTTCCGCTGGTAGTTTTGGGGCCACCTTCTTAATAGATACAGGAATCAATACTCTCTGGTACTTAAATTTGTAAGTGGAAACCAATTCTCAAGTCTAAAAAAACTAGAAGTATTTCTCTCTCTTTTGGTAACAATAAAAGTAACAAGAACAATAAGAATGACATGTTACTATTGACAACTAATGATAATGATGATAGTACTGATCATGCTGCTATTGACTATGACAATGATGAGATAGGTACTGATGATTCTAATGATTAATGTGTAATAATGAGCATGATGATGATGATGATGATGATGATCATAAAAATAATAATCATCAATAGAAAAACATTAATAGCATCACTGTCTTACAAAAATAATGATAACATTGTCCATATCAAGTGCAAGTAAAAACTGTACTAATCCAATTCTGTGATAAAGAAAAGGCGAGAAAGAAAGAAAGAAAAAGCCTTGACTCTTCGATCTGTCAAGTGAGTAATCACATGTTTTCACCTTAGCTAAGCAGATACATAACACTGGAACACGAGGAGGACAAAGAACAGAGGAATGCTTATTACATTTCCATACTTAATTCTTGAAATAGTTAAAGAATGGTAAGAGAAGGAGAAAGATAAAAAAAAAAAAAGAACAAAAGAGAGAGAGAGAGAGGGGGAAGTGAAGTGGAAGAAAAGGAAGACATACAAGTTATTTTTCAGTAATAAAGCAGATACATGTACCTCCATGCACAATACGAATCAGATTAACAGGAGGTGAAGTGGTAAAACTAAACATTTGCATGATAAAGGAACTAAGGAGCTAAGGAATGAAAATTATGCAATATTAACTTTGGTTTTCACTTCAATTTGTCATGTAAACAACCCATTAGAATTGACGCAATCTGTTAAGGGCAACTCAAGTTTTCATATTCCTTTCATTTCAACTGCTAATATTGTTGCATTACATGATTAGTAGTAACAAAATGCAGAAAAGAAAAATAACCCAAAGAAAGTGTAATAGAAAGAAAATACTCGTGAGTTAAAGATGGAGCAGATGTGTGAATAAGATTTTTTTTTTTTGAAGTACATTTTTTCTATGTAATAGTTCTATGCAAGTTGAATATCTCGAATTCATCATAGTACCTATACAATTCAGTATTTACTTAAATATGAAATTTCAGTGACTTTCTTCCCCCTCAAATATTAGATGAGCTGAAACAGTTGTTATTCATAGTAAAGTTTATATCACATTAAATTTGATTCCAGCAAAACCTTCTGGAACAGAGACATTTGAAAATACTTAAATGTCTGCTGGCTTCCTTTGAATATTGATCATGTAAAAATGCATTCTTTATGAATTACAATAAGAATGTGTTTTGAAATACATTCTGTTTAACTATATCCCTTAAATGCACTTCAGGATTAATCAGCAACAAATCTTCAACTAGTTGCTGTTAAAATATCATGAACTTCTTAAGTAGGACTTTGAATGCTTCAGTACTGTTTTGAAAGGCAAGTCTACTCAGAGAACCGAATCGATAAGCCAACATCAGGGATCTAAAATGTGCCAAATGTGTCATCAGAATACGGTTGTTCCCAACATCTCAGTCAGTCTGCATATAGTTATTATCCCCTCTGTAACAAATTTATTTTGCTCATTACTGATCTTGGGAAATGTCATTACACTGATCTTGTGGTTAAACTGTGTCACACACATTACAAGAACATTTTTTTCTACTAGGAGTGGTTACTTTTAATATTTCATTACCTGGGAAAACTTTTTAAGTACTATATATCATCTCGTACACGTAAGTATCTGGTGACTATTTTGAGCTGCAATCTATTTTCATGACTGATATATTACTTTATCATTACCCAGTAACAAATGGTTCAGAACTGACAATAGCCTTGACTAGTAAACATAAAGAGAGGTATGCAATTTCACAGCTCTTTAAGGCCAATTCTTTCCAAGTCTCTGAATAAACCACACTAATGTAATAAATATGGCTGTAAATGACAATAGGGATAATCTGTAAAATATTAGTTTTTGCAGACAGTTCACATCATCACCAAGTGGCATGTACAATTCCACTGTTCATATTCATTTCGGTTGTAACCTCATTTTCATAAAGACAAATAAAGAAGATCGCTCTTTCAATCTTATTATAATATTATGCCCTTTTCACATTGTATTTATCCACGACAAAAGACAAATATCACAAAAGATGCTTATAATAGGAAATCTTGATCAAGTCCTACCACTCATCATAGCTCAAAGGTGTGTCTCTTCACAACATTGACTAACTTTCCATACAAGTTCTTCAGTTTCTACCAAAACAAGCAATGCATCATACTGATCAATATCATTTCGTTGTTTATCCTTTTGTAAATTCCTCTTGAATAGAAGGAAGATGAAAATGACAGAGTAAAATAAAAATAAAAAGGCAAGAAGTACAAGAAAAATGTATTAACAACCAAAAGAGTAATAAAAAATAACAACAATAGTAACATGCATAAACAGAACATAGTTAGACATCTAGAAATAAATGGTGCATCCATCAATAAAGTGCATTTAACTCATCCTGATAATGCAAACCAGTAAATATAAACTTGGACTCACACAAACTACCTGTCGTACGCGACAAGCCTTAAGTTCTTTGGGCACAATATGTTACAACCTAATCTTTTGTAATAAAGAAAAAAGAAAAGAAAAAAAAAAGGGGATGATAAAAAGTGCCTGTATGATGCTTTGTGAGAGTGTTACACTTACCAGTTCCTGATAATCAAATAATTTCTATAAGAGCAATTAGATTCTTCCCTGCACCTCTTTGACACATTTCTAGACACAAATTGACTTCGCTAGGTAGACCACATGCCTACCTAATAAGAACAATATCTACTGGTATTCTAAAATCCTTTAGAATGTAAACCTAAAACTATTCAGAATTTTCTGCTTCTTTTGGGAAAGGATTTATCTGCATTTCCTCTAGATAGCAACCATCACATTTATTTAAATATGATTGTTATACCTCTGGTTCCACTGTGTCAACAAACAATCACATGAGTTTTGGCTTCTGTTACCGTGAACAAGATAAAGCCTGTTAAGGCAGAGTACAATCACTTTTAACAATTTCCCTATACCTTATTTGCCTCTTTGCTTTATAAATGAGACCTACTGACCCTAATTTTGTATAAAAAAAGTAAAGTTTGTGCTAACATCACAACCACTATTGGATCTGTGTAATGTTACTTTCAAATATCAGCCTCATTTACCGTGAAAGTTTTTTTTTTATTAATTTACTTTCAGTACTATAGCCCAACAACCACAAAACCATAAGAGACAGTAAATGAAGAAGATAGTAATAAAACATTACGAATACTAACATGTACATGAAAAAAGGAGGAAGGGGGTGGGGAACTAACCTTCTAGATTTGGTAAAGCTGTAAGCATATCATTTGTACAGCTCATACATATTTCAATCATCAATTTTTCTTCTTCTTTTTTTTAGCTATCTAATAATATGGAATTCCGCGAAATTAAGTGAAGTGATTTCCTACCTAGGAGCACAATTCATTCAACTTAGCTATAAATACTTGTGAAAGTGAGAAACTACTTAAACAAAAGGTACTGAAAAGAAAAAAAAAAAAAAGGGGATGATAAAAAGTGCCTGTATGATGCTTTGTGAGAGTGTTACACTTACCAGTTCCTGTTAATCAAATAATTTCTATAAGAGCAATTAGATTCTTCCCTGCACCTCTTGACACATTTCTAGACATAAATTGACTTCGCTAGGTAGACCACATGCCTACCTAATAAGAACAATATCTACTGGTATTCTAAAATCCTTTAGAATGTAAACCTAAAACTATTCAGAATTTTCTGCTTCTTTTGGGAAAGGATTTATCTGCATTTCCTCTAGATAGCAACCATCACATTTATTTAAATATGATTGTTATACCTCTGGTTCCACTGTGTCAACAAACAATCACATGAGTTTTGGCTTCTGTTACCGTGAACAAGATAAAGCCTGTTAAGGCAGAGTACAATCACTTTTAACAATTTCCCTATACCTTATTTGCCTCTTTGCTTTATAAATGAGACCTACTGACCCTAATTTTGTATAAAAAAAGTAAAGTTTGTGCTAACATCACAACCACTATTGGATCTGTGTAATGTTACTTTCAAATATCAGCCTCATTTACCGTGAAAGTTTTTTTTTTCATTAATTTACTTTCAGTACTATAGCCCAACAACCACAAAACCATAAGAGACAGTAAATGAAGAAGATAGTAATAAAACATTACGAATACTAACATGTACATGAAAAAAGGAGGAAGGGGGTGGGGAACTAACCTTCTAGATTTGGTAAAGCTTTTAAGCATATCATTTGTACAGCTCATACATATTTCAATCATCAATTTTTCTTCTTCTTTTTTTTAGCTATCTAATAATATGGAATTTCCAGCAGACCCACATTAGTTCCTTGCATGTGGTAGAAGTGATAATTTTCACTACCTATGGAGCCACAATTCATTCAACTTTAGCAATATAAATAACTTGTGAAAGTGAGAAACCTTAACTTAAAACAAAAGGTCTAACTCTAAAAAAAAGAAAAAAAAAAAAGAAAAAAAAAAAGCCAAACCGAGTGTCACTGGATACTTACCTGTATCTTACTAAACATGTCCACATGCATGTGAAGCATATAAGAAGTCAAGACTTCATCAAATACCTGAATGAAACAGCCTTACTGGTACAAAACACAACATCTTATAAATATTTGTGCAAGATGAGGACTTACCCTACACAAAGCCGTCATAAAAAACTAGAAATACGGTATCCTAAATCACATGCTTTTAAAACAAAACAGTAAAAGGAAAAAAAAAAAAGAAAAAAAAGGGGGAAAAAGGAAGAAACTTGTAATGCCAAAACATGATTAATATTTAATTCTGCAGAGCAGTTGTGCACTGGTAAAGAACAGAGGCCTAAGTGGACACTGAACACCTACGAGTTTACAAGGGATACTGAAACTTGCCATATCTTACTATAATGGAGTAATGTTTAAAGGGATCATATATCATTCCTTTTTATCTCTGCATGCATAGATAAACATATTTCATGAAAGTCATAGAGAGAAATATTATTGTGTGTGAAGGGGGTAGGCGGGGAAGAGTGAGATATGCCACTACTACAATAAAAAAAATATAATAATAATAATAATAATAATAATAATAATAATAATAATAATAAATACAATAAAAAAAATCTTGAACCATGATTTGAGACGAGGTACTGATGGAATGCTAGCAAGTTTAAAATGTTCAAATCATAAAAGAAAGAAACAATAAAATATATAAATCTATAGTCATCACCCCAATATATGGTTCATAAATAAAAACCCTTCACATCACTCCAAATCTGCACACCAGTACCAAATCATAATACATGTGCCTATTCTAAATATCCCTTGCTAGAGATTTTGGGAAACTTTCAAAGGCTTGGCATTCTTAGATAGAGCAGATAAGGGCTGAAGAACTCTCCTGATCTTGGCTAATAAGGACCAGGCAGAGAACCAACCAGAATCAAAAGGGTTACTCCATCTGCACCCCTAGAGATGGGACTTAATACAGGATAATAATGAAAGAGATGAGGAAATATGTACATATGCACAGGAGTTTCTGTCCAATAGGATCATAACTTAACAGTCACTTAGCAATAGCTTTTAAACTATAAAATTTTAAGGTCATAGGGATATATCTGTGCGAAAACCTTTTTGAATTCGTGAAGAAGAAAAAGGGGCAAAAATGACACAAAGACCTAAAAAATCTCAGGTTCCTTAGGATTTATCTGTGCAAGAAATCTTTTCAAACCGAGAGTGATAGAGAGTGAGAGAAGTAGAGTATATACTGTTAGCCTGGCAGCAGAAGAGCATAAAAAATCATCAAACATCCTCTTGTGAACTGCCTGTGTGTAACATAAAATTAATATAATTTATCATTTGGATGGACTAATATATACATACATACAGTGCATACAAATGTAGAGAATATCTGCATGTCATTCAGAGCTATACAGTATATATGTAAGTATGGGTGTATAGATAGAAATGTAGATCTGTTTATGTGTATGTGAACAAAATAATGTAACACATACACATGAGATGAAATAGTCACTACTGGAATGGAATAATATATGACATTTTAAGACTATCTAACACTCCTCTTCAGACATAGTAAAAACCAACACTGAGTATCATGTCTGAAGAGGAGCTCCAGACAAGCTTAAAGTATCATACTCTATTACAATCTTATTGGGGCAATATTTCATTTTATGTATGTACTTTCTTTCTTATTTTGGTATATATATACGTGTGTGGGTGTACACATCAGTGTTCATTTTGTATGTGCACATTTGCATATACAATTACTTATATATGTATGTATGTATATATGTATGAATGCATTCACATATATCCGTGTGTGTAAAACACAGACACACACACAAACATGCGCACGTGCACACACACACATGCCCAATTGCACACAGACACACACACACACGCACACGCACACACACACGCACGCACGCATGCACCCATACACACACACACACACACACACACATATTTCAAACACTGAGAAGCAATAAACATCCTATATAGCTATAACTAATTTAAGTATTTCTTTCACTGATATTCGGGCAAACACATACATTGCCTTATTTAAGGCCGATGCAACAGAACAATAATTCGGTTTTAACTCATTGTAAGAAGTTTGTGGATTTGGCAAGCATTTTCTTTCTGACGTATCTGTCAGCTTTTGTACAATGTACATAGTACACTAACTCCACTACGTATTTGATTTACAGTATTCACAATCATAGGGATATACTGATACCGGTATATGTTTCTACTATAGCAGTACTGTTTGTAGCTATCAAATGGTTATCTGAAGTTGGTCTCTGTGAAATGTATATTATCCTTAACTTACTTACTATCAATGAAAAATAAAATAAAAAAATAACAAAACTCAAGAAGTTGAAGAGAACACGGCCATTGTAGTAACTTTGGTTGAAATACCTATATATGTATATATAGTTGATATTGAAAGCAGATATAGAACCAGCTTTTTTAAAATACCAAAGCCATTCCAAGGTTGTCCCAGCTACATATGTGGCCATCAAAGTCTCTTGATAACGACACGGGTTTTGGCGGATAGATATTCCGGGTAAAAGAACATTCACTAGAACAAAGCACAGCCACCGTCGCAGGGTCGGTTAGAGGTGTACATGCGCTGCTGAGAGGATGGCTCTA